TGATGAAGTTGAGGATGGAATTTGGGTATGGAGTTGCTATTGTCTCACAGTTTTATATAGGGCAACAGGAGAGGAGTATAGTAGTTGAAATTGGAGGATTTGTTAGGGTTTATATGTTGTGTGGTTTTGGTTATCTTTTGACCTCCATTGTTCGTTGATATTTTGGTTAGTTTAGGTTACAAACCTATCTACTAAACTTTGTTGTTTTGGTAATTTTAATTTTTAAGATTTGGCTATTTAATGGAATCACCATTTCGACAGTTTAGGTTTAGGGTTAGGGTCGAGGGTTTAATACTATCACTAGGAAAATGAGGATCCTCAGGCGAGGATCCTTTTCCCCATCACCTTGTAGACTTATATCCATAGGGTTTAATACAAGCTACAGGTCAATTAATATAATAAAGGGAAATGCTAGCGAAATTTTCATTTAATCTTGACTCTAAATTTTATTTTGAAAATTTTCCTAATGATTCAAATCGGTTATTTTCGATGTCAATTTTTAAAGATCATTTATGAGAAAATAAAATGAACGTGAAATTGTTTAGTCATTTCATCGTTTGGTCTTATAAGGATTAATTCAAGCCGAGCCAATTTAACTTAGTGTCCAAAACTAGTCTATTTTAAAACAACCACTCGTAACATTAACAACCAAGACCCACCACTAATAACAAATTTTACTAAAAGTTTCTAATTTTTCTTTCATAGTACGTATCAATGATTCAAAACTCAATAAAATATTACATATGAAATCTAATAAATCTTTATAACAAGAACAAATTTTGTATGGTACATACTATTGTAATCTCGTAGCTGGACCTTCCATCAAATTTTCCCGTATCCCAAATGCACGAAATATTGTGCATTCAGAATAAAAGAAGGGATACAATTCTTACTTGATAGTGGGGTTTAAGTTGTGCGAGATTTTGTCCCCTAAAAAATAGAGTTGTAATGCGATGTTACCTTGTAGTGAGATCCACCCGTAGGCAATATTAGTTTCTGTTGATCAAATGCCCGATAAAATTAACAAGTCAGACGGATCTTGTATAAGAGATAAGTAATGCAACAGGAAGAGAATGAAAAAAGATGTAGAAAATTAGTCGCCTAATGAGTGCGCAAGTCAGGCCAAAAGAAATAGGGGGAAAGAACAAGCCACAAATAAAAGATTTGTTTATTTTCTTTCTTCTTTATGGAGCCATTGCCTTGGCCAATCTGGGAAGTGAACCGTTTAGTCGACCATTTCTGTATGAAGTGATTTTACATTTCAGCCAGAAGCAAATGATTTGAAGTCATACCTTTACAGTCTCTGCTACTTAGGAGCCATTCTACAACCTACCATATACTTGGGTGGATGTTCACAACGATACCACTAGTGAAGTTATCACTATGCAGAAGAACAATGTTAGAGCATCATTTAGTACATCAATTAGTACTGATTTTTGGGTGAGGGATTTGCAAGTACCAAGGGATTTGGGAGCAAAATCTAAGTTGAATTAATAATTAGAAGGCAATCTTCACATGGTACAGGAGTGTGTGGACAATTGTCTAAGACTCTGACTATGTTTGGGTGAGGGATTTGCAAGTACCAAGGTCTTTGGGCTAAATATAGTTATAAATGGACTACAAAAGGTTAGATGGAGAGATTAGAAATGCAGCACATGATCATTGCAAAGACATAATATTTACAAATTACTCCTTTTAAGTAGTCATTTACAAGTCCTCTTAATGCATTGTAACCTCTGATTGATTGCCATGCAAATGGAGAAGAAATGAAAGTCTTGCCTCGACACAATTTGAGAAATTTGTAGAGAAGGAAGTTAACTCTATTAGCAAAAAGAAAAATACACAAACACAGATAGGTCTAATTTTAAAAACAACAAAACTATTTGCTTGGTAGTTTGGTGAAATTTGAACTTTCCTGCTCAGTAATTGATGATCCAAGAGCTTAAATGGTTGATTATCATTTTGCTAAAATGATTTTGTGATTCGAACATGACATATGCATTAATGAGATTTGAACTTATTTATTAGGATTTAAAACTTATTTATTCTTTCTCACTTACTGTTGTAGTATTTGATTAATTTCAGGTTCTTTGTTCATTTGGCAATGTCTATGGGCCTTATTTTGATAGGTTTTCAGACTTAAAGCATTTTGTTTGAGCATGTAGATAGGGTTTATGCGTTCTCTCTCTCCCTCTCTCATCACCCATCCATATACTTTTCTCCTTCTTCTGATGGAATCTATATTCGCTCCTTTCATCTACTATCCTCACTGATGTCCGACTTTCTATTGTCCTTTGCTTTCAGAAGTTAGGACCCACAAGTTTAGAATAGAAGAGACCAAAACAAGGTGGAGAAAGAAGGCAATTGGGAACAAGTATGTCGAAGAAATCAGTTTCCAGAACAGGACATAGTTTCGCATGTGGTGGGAATGGGGGGATTAGTCCTTGGAACTACTGTACGGTGGCCTCCCAATTTGTGGAGGCACCAAAATTTGAATGTACCCTTGCTTCTCCACCTTGATGATTTTTGGTGTGCCATTATGTCTTTCCATGTCCTAAATATAGATATTTCTTTATCTTCCTTGTTTTATCTTCCTTGTTGGTTCATTGAAAATGAAGCTTTAAGTGGAAGGAGAACTCTTGGGGCAGTGCCTCTTCCGCAATTGTTTGTTTTTATCTTCTAGATGCTATTAGCGATGTGTGTGCTGAGCGTTAGCTCTTTAACTCGAATGATAAATTTAGCATTGTATCCTACTTGTGGTGATGAATATAAATGATGGATTTGATGCCGTGATCAGTTCAGACATGGCATGAGGCTTGAGTTGAGTCGATGTATACCTCACAGCATGATCTTTTTGGAAGAGTGGACACACCATGTTATCTGTTGTTCTTGTGCAACATTTCGAGAAAAAGGAACGAAACAAATAATTCAGTCGACAATTGAAGTCCTGCATTGTTTGTGGTAGGTACTGCTCTCGCTTCTCTGGTGGTCCTTTGGCCATGAGGTTCGACTCGAGCTGATGAAAACTTCTCAGGTGGATTCTTTTGGAACACTAGACCAAGCATGTTATCTGTAGTTTTTGTGGTGGTACCACTTTGCAATACCTTTCAGATAATAGTATTGATATATTACTGTGTTTGTGGTATGCTGCATGCACTGCACTTGCTCAAATATTTTTCTCAATATCTTTTAGATTCAATCAAATGTAAGACCTTGGGTGCATGAATAATTGTAGTGCTGGAGACACTAATTGATGCACCAGTGTTTCATTTGTTTTTTGTTTCGACCCACTTTCGGACCTATTTCAACCCAAGTAACTAAAAGTTGGTGCAATGAGTTTGTCAATTGTTATTTCACGAGTAAACGCTCGTATCCATCTGAAGAAATTAGACAGATTAGTTAATATCCTACTATCTTGTGGAATTAGAAGGGATACCGTTTCATTAATGATTAATCCATCTACCTTCAAAAGTTTGGAAGTCGGTCTTTATTTTATCAGCATACAATTAAGGTAGCGAGTTATCCAGTCAATCAGATCCTCGTGTTCCAAACTCGACGGTTTTGTTTCTGTGCCCAACGGCAAAACAGAAGCTGTGTTCAAGAATATAAGGATGAAAACATGGAGGCACACACACACATTAAATCTGCTGTGCATCCACCTTTATTTTATGGGTTGTATTTTTTTGGCCATAATATCCGGATTGAGAAGATTTGACTTAGAAGACCATCAAAGACAAGTCTAGCTAAACAATGAAAGATGGAATTTGATTAAGCATTATATTGACTATTCTGCTTTTGAACCATCCATCTATACAATAGCACCCATTAGTACTGTTCCAATTTAGCCGTATTTTCTCTATTTATAAGTGAGATATTTTAGGTTACAATTTTTGTAGATGACGAATTCGACACCAAATTATAATAATTGGTGTACTATGTGAAATGACCATAATTTCTCGTTCAATGTAAAATAACGTTATATATGAAAAGGGTAGTGTTATCTACACTCATTTTTATTTCTCACACCGCTCTCAATTTTCGACTGTCGGATTGAATCAATTGAAGAATATCAATGACCACATAATTAACAAAAGTATATAGAAAGTAAAAAATGAATATGTGAATAACAGTATCCAAATTAAAAATATTCAAAAGGGCATGGACCAAAACAAAGTGGAAGAAAATAGAGAGGCATGGGGAACAAATCTTGTGTCTGCTTAAGCATGTGGGGAAGCATGCCCTGTTTCTGTCTCTGCTTTTACATCTGCTTTCCATTTTTCCTTCCTAGCCTCCCATGTTTCTGATATTGTTTGCCATATGTGACAGATTTGGAAAGGATCTTCGTCGGATCTTTTTTTTAGGGATTCCGTGATCGTGATTGGTCATCGTACATCGTGCAATCTGTTTTCGTTAGGTATTATTTATATTTAATTTTAAAATTTAAATTTTGAAATGATTTATGACCGTACGATGTACGATGAACAGTTACGGTCACGATTACAGGATCCTTAGGATCCTTAGGCAAAGGATCCGGTGGGGATCCTTTTCCGACATATTTTCTCTCAATCGATTTTCATACTCCATTTTCTTTTCTCACACTCCTTGTACGCTCTCACTTTAGTAAAGATTGAATAAATCAACGAAGAATCATTGAAAAATTCATAACAAAACAAAAGAAAATGAGTGTATACACAGATAACGGGTGTGAAAATCATTACCCTTTTTCTTATCTATTGTTTGAAGCTGAGAATTTGATCTCCATCCAACATAGAATTATTCAATTTAGGCTCAATAAGATGTTAAGGCTGATAAAAGTTAGTGAACATACATGCTATATGATATATCCTTTTTATCGTAGCAAGTGTACTTGTTAAAGTAATGCATAGTATTTCTCTTTTCAATGTCGAAAAATCCCTCGAATTTAAATTTCCCTCCGCGGTTGATTATGAGAAGAAAAAAGCCAGAGGAATGAAAGCATGTTAAAAAATTAAAGCAAGAAAAGCGGGGGAAAGTGTGATTTGAAGCATTTAACCAGATTAACGTCTCAAAACTGTACAAGAAACCTAAAGCCATCACCATTCAAAACCATGAATCCCTCGCTGATATTGTTCTAGAAAATTAATCACTAAAATTGTCCTTGGAAGGTTTAGAAAAAGGATTAAAACCATTAACTTTGATTTGAAGATTGCTTTATTAGGGGTTGGGAGGTTTTTCCCCCCTCTTCAGGCTGGCTCTTAACCTCCATTAGCAATGCCACCACTTCTTTCATGGTTGGTCGTTCTGCCGGCGAAGAATTCACACAGAACATTGCTATTCCAAGTGTTTGCAGCATCTCCTGCACCATTTGATCTGGTAGACCTTGGAGCTTTGTATCTAGTATTGATACAGCTGGTTCGAAACTTCCCATCTTCTTCTTCACCCATTCAACGATGTGTAGCCCGTCACCTATCTGTGGCTGAACAGCGCTACGCCCACTTAAGATCTCCAGCAGAACCACACCATAGCTGTAGACGTCACTCTTCTCCGTTATGTTCATCGTGTATCCGTACTCTGCATTCGTAATGGATTGAGATTATCAGTTGAACAAGATTGTGACACATAAATACGTTCATAAAACGAATGTGATAACCAATTAGAAAGAAAAAAAAGTAGCTAGTTTTACCTGGGGCAATATAACCATAAGAGCCGGCTACTCTCGACATTGCGTGGTGGTAAGTAGGAGAGTTCATCAGCTTTGCCAGACCAAAATCTGCTAGATAGGCTTCATACTTTGAATCCAGTAGTATGTTATTGCACTTGACATCCCTGTGCAGAATCGTTGGGACACAATCGTGGTGAAGGTATGCTAAACCTTGAGCTGATCCAATTGCAATCTTGTACCGAGTTTCCCAGTCCAAGTTCCTATTCCCTTGCAATAGCTGCTGCAGATTGCCATTGGGAATGTAGTTATAAAGAAGCAGCTTGACACTTCTATTCGAACAGTAACCTAGGAGCTTCACAATGTTCCGATGGCGAATGTGTCCAAGAATTTGAATTTCTGCAGCAAAAGAGTCTATTGGCTCTTCCTCTTGCTTCGTTTTCCATAGCTTTTTCACCGCAATCAAATCCCCATTGTGCAATTCGGCCTTATAGACGATTCCAGAACAACCTTTTCCAATCACATTTTCCTCCTTCAAACAATCCAAGATGTTATCAATGGTGAAATTGAGCTTCTGAAATGGGATGAAAGTCCATGGATACGAGAAATCTTCAGCCCCCGACGACGCTGCCATTGCTGCTAAAGATTTCTTTACCATATATCTATGATTTCGCATAATAAGAACCCACGAGGCAACAAGTGCTATGGTGACTGACACCAGAATCACAGTAATTAAAGCAACAGTTTTTGCGGATTTCAAACCATTCTTTTGCATTAGACTTGAAGAACAAGTAGTCCCATCAACAGACTCACAAAGATGTGGATTCTGAGCATATGAATTCGAAGAAAGAGTTCTGAAAAATGGCGTAACTGGGATGGCACCTGAAAAATTGTTGCAGGAAATATTTAGGGATGCGAGACTAGTTAGAGAACCAAGAACCTTAATTTTTCCGTAGAGCATATTATGCGAAAGGTCCAGTGATTGCAATTGCGTCAAATCTGCCATTGTCTCTGGGATTTCTCCAGTAAAACTATTCGAGCTCAAGTCCAAACTTATTGTCAAGCTTGTCACACGACCAATTTCGGGTGGGATTGGACCGGAGAGGCTGTTGAAGCTCAAATCCAGCAGAGTTAGCTTCTGCAGGTTCCGGATAGATATTGGTATCGAACCTGAGAGTAGATTATTGTTCGCAATGAGCTTGTTCAAGTAACTTAAGTTGCCGAAGCTCCAAGGAATTTCGCCAGTGAAGCTGTTCCTGCTCAGATCAAACTGCTCCAAATTCACAAGTTCCCCAAGCTGAGTCGGGATTTCGCCACTTAAATAGTTGTTGTGCACATCCAACAGTTCAAGAACTGTGATGTTGGCAATCTCAGTTGGCAGTCTTCCAGAGAAATGATTCATGTACAAGTCGAGAAACACGAGGTTTTGCAGCTGGCCTATTTCCTTTGGAATCTGTCCTGAAAGCTGGTTCTCCCCAAGCCTCAACCTGACTAGAGATTGACATTGTGCAACGCTTCGAGGCAACCCACCTGACAAAGAATTCCCCAACAGCAAGAGCTTGCTCAGCTTCTTCAATCCAAAAATCTCTTCTGGGATCGACCCGGTAAGCTTGTTTCTTGAAAGATCAAGTGCATAGAGCTCAGTGCAGTTGCCAAATGAAGCCGGTATAGTTCCCGATACAGAATTACCCCACAAGAAGAAACTCTGCAAGAGCTTGAGATTGCCAACCTGCCAAGGAATTGTACCTGACAATTGGTTCTTGTCAAGCTGAAGAGCTGTGAGGCTGGTGCAGTTGCTGAGCTGGGATGGAATTGCTCCAGTGAGCGAATTATCGGAGAGATGAAGCTGTTCAAGAACCACCAGCTTCCCCAAGTCTCTTGGGATTGGTCCAGAGAGATCATTGGCAGAAGCATCAAGAACAACAAGGGAAGAACAGTTTGAAATCTCAGCTGGGATTGGTCCTGATAATGCATTGCCCCAGACAAGCAGGCTGGTGAGCTTCTGCAGTTTCCCCAATTGTGGAGGAATCGAACCAGTAAGCTTGTTCATATGCAAATACAAATTCCTCAGCTCCGAACAATGCCCGAGTTGCGGTGGTATTGAGCCAGATATCTCAGTATCATAAAGAGACAGTGTTTGGAGGTTGATCAAGTTCCCAAATGTGGATGGAATCACACCCGAAAGGGCGGTAGCTGCCGCGCCAAAAGTTGTGAGGTTGGTGAGCAGGCCTAGTTTGGAAGGGATTTCGCCGGTTATATATGGATTCCCTCCGACACGAAACTGTTGGAGGGAAACCAGAGAGCCCAACTGAGACGGTATTGAGCCGTTGATGAGGTTGTCTTGGAGACAAAGCACTTGGAGGGAAGTGAGGTTGGCAAGTTGTTGAGGCATTTTGTCTGAGAGTCTGTTGGAGTTGAGGAAAAGGAATTGGAGGGTGGAGAGATGGCCGAGCTCCGGAGGAATGGGGCCGGTGAGGGAGTTGGAGGATAAGTCGAGGAGGCGGAGATGGGTGAGTTGGCCAAAGGAAGGTGGGATGGTGCCGGAAATGTTGGCGGAGGAGAGGTTGAGGAGCTGGAGATACGAGAGGGAGGAGAGCTGCGGAGGGAGAGAGGAGAGGTTGAGGAAAATGTTGGGGAGAGAGAGTGAGATTACTCTGTTTTGGGGAGAGCATGTTATGCCTTGCCATGAGCATGGTGTTTCACTTGATGAGTCCCATGAGGAAAGCACAGAAGATTGCTTTGCAGGGAGGAGGGAGAGAAGGGCTTGGCCATCAGAGGACAGAGAGGTAATTAATGAGATTCTTGTCATGGTTATGAAAATCAACAATGTGAAGGAAAATAGAAAATGGGTTGTGTTTAGCTCCATTTTTTGAGTGGTTCTGGGGAAAAATTAGGGCTTGAAAATGGTGGTGGTGTTGAAGGAGGAAGATGGTGGTGGTGGAAAGTCTTGGTGTGAGGAGACAAGATGCATGTGGGAGGAGGTTTGTGGTTAATGAGATGGGAGAATGCTTGAATTTTACAACAAGGTGTTGAAGTTGAATAAGTTGAAGGCATGCATGTGAACAAAAAAGCTTGTGTCACCCATCTTTAAAGCGGATTAATATACAGTTCAGTTGAATGTTTTGGTCAAAGCAAAAATGGTGGAGTGTGATGTTATCTTACCTGAAAATGCTAGCTCTCTCTTCTATTTTTGTGTTGGTTGATCAGCTGCTGCTCTGGTGGTGGTGGTGGTGGTGGTGGAGATGAGAAAGGTTCAAAAACTCTTTCTGGACTGATTAAAACAACCAGAAATGGTAGTGTGTGTTTGAATAGTTTCAAGGTTGGAGTGGTGGTGGTGGCTGTGGTTGCTATGAGGTTTGAGGTCTAAGGGAGGTAGAGACTACTACTCACTCTTTTTCTCTTTGCTTGTGTTATGTTTCCAAGACTTTGAAATCCCCATTCCTATTTGCAATATAGTATCACCACTGATTATTATACTCTAAATTTCATGCACTTCAAGGAAAGGGTTGAGCGTCCCTTATCAATTGTATTGCCCAAATTACCCTTTGGTGGGGATCGTGAAGGGTCCTCATTTTCCTCTCTAATACACTAGGGGCAATTCTAGCACACTGAGTGGTGTTCATATAATTTTTCTCACTATATTAACCCAGATGTCACTGTTTCGTTATTTCAAAACAATCATGTATTATTATGTGTTCTAAATTTTACAAATAGGAATGATTATCTTAACTTATAATAATTGTCACAATAACTTCATTTCACATTCGGACGTCCTTCTCTTATAAGCGATACTTGAAACCTTTAGACCATCTTCAAAGGAGATGTCAAATTTTGAACACAAAATTTAAATTTGAATGCTTATATGGCATATTGATATTTTTATAAATTTTGTTCTCCAACCGATATTTCAAATTTAAACTATTATTTATTACATTATTTACTTTTTATAGTTGTGATTAGTATTTTAAAACAAAAGATAACTATTAAAATTATAAAAAGTATTTATTAATTACTAAAAATAGATTTGAAGCCATTGGCAAATTTGACAGCAACTTCCTCTACTGCCTTTCCATGTCATGCCACATAGGAATTGACATTTCGGTTGGAAAACACTAATGATGTCTTCTATTATTGTTATTGCTGATGTGGACTTTTTGACATCTTCTTTTAAGATGCTCTTATCTTAAGGACCTGGATGTTAAATTTGGAATTGAATTGGGGTAAAATATGCCTATAATTTTATATATCAACTGTGAGATAAAACTATTTGGATCATATTTACTTTGTTGATTGTATTATAATGGAGGTAAGAGATATCTATGTAAGTGAATCTCACTTTCATAAAAAAAAGCTATCCATAAAATAGTTACTGAGATGTTATCAGAAAATAAAATAATTAGTAAATTCGATGCCAAAAGAAATAGATAATCCAAGTAATAAGATAAGTACTTGCATTTAGTCCGAGACAGAATCAAAAATTTCAGAGTCTATTAGGGCATGGGGGTGGCAGGCACAAGGAGGAGAGAGTGCCTGCTGCCTAGGGAAGAGAAATTAAAAGACTTTGATGAATGATACTATTGGAGTGAGGCAGAGAAGGGGGCATGGAAGATTGCGAAAGTTTAAAGGGTTTGTTTGAAGTAAGCAAACCATTTTCAATGTCTTTTTCCTGCATAATAAACTATGCGACCTTACTGGATATTATAAGGAGGGAGAGGAGTCGGGTTTTAGGGTTAGCGTGGAGACAGAGGAACTTTTATTGGAGCATTAGGGTTTATAGTTGTTTACTGCTGATTACTGTGGTAGGGTGAAATTAAGTAGAGGTGCTGTGATTTGTTTACCGAGGGAGAGGTAGTGGGTTTGTTTTGGGAGTGGGGCGGGCAAAAGAAAATTTACATCATCACATGAAAGAGAGAGAGGGGGAGGGAGAGAGGAGAGAGAGAGGGTTTATCAATATATTAGGGCACAATGCACGATTAGGGTTTTATTAGGGCTTTAGGTTTTTGACTGTATTCTAAACGATTCAGCGGCACGATATATATTCATCTTATTATTCTCCCTCTCCCTCTCCCTTTCACTCTCCCTCTCCTGCAAATCAAATACCCAATACTATCGATTTTGCCGCCCATGAGTACGTAATAGATGTAACAACATCTACAATGAAAGATGTACAATACCTTAAATGAGGATGTTATAACTTAAATATCAATTTTTCATCGGTCAAGAATATGGGTATTTTACATCGCTTGAAAAAAAAACATTCATTGGAGAGCTTTTCGGTCTGTGAGAAATGTAAAATGCATATTCAAAGGCATTGTGGATCTCCTATTGGACATGCTCTAAAGATTTGTTAATGCCACTCTGAGAAAATATATTATGACAAAAAAACAGTATCTTTTTCATCTTAAATTTGACCCAAAAGATTTGTAACTTAGTTGGTAAAGATAATTCACCTTTGCAACCTAGATCTCGATTTCTAATCTTTATTCTCTCAACATCACTTGTATCAAAGAAGAGAAAAACTAGGACAGTTGTGTACCAAAGGCTTATTAAATAACATCTTAAGCCTCTTTAACAGTTTCTAATGGATATCGATTAGATATGATGCTCATATTCTAATTACAATAGCGATCTTTGTCACGTAGTACTACAGTCTGGTGGTATTTCTCTTCACTTGTAAGTGAGAGATCTTAGGCTCGATTCTCGTCAAAAACGAATTTGAACTATATTATTACTAACCCATTATGAGTTAAGCTCACCCAATTCTCATTAATGTAGATAATGTCTTATTTTCAAAGAAAAAGAAAGAAAATTACTATAGTGACCCTTAACCTAGTCGTTGTCCATTACTACTCATTTTTCCATCAATTCTCCATCTCCGAGACATGAAAATCAGTTGCTGAATAGGCAGTTGACCAAGGAAATCTCAAATCCCTGCTGCCAGAATTTTTTCAGTCCAATGCTTCACCGTACCTTTCACCGCTGCGCAATTTGGCCATAGTTACTGAAGGACTGAATGCAGAGGTTCAAGTAGAAGAGTACTTAGCAAATAGAAGTTTGATAAGCGTGCTATTTTTCCTTTCCTCCTCAATAAATCCAGTGATTGTTCTCAAAGTTAAAATTGCTAACATATTGGAGCTTAGTTTTTCGACATTTTTAGGTTACAATAGCCAAACAACCTCGTTAGCGAGGCTATTGGAGTCTCTTAGGATCTTAATTAAAACATGTATCTTCTGTTATTTTGAGCCTAAATCCTACTATTAGGATAGTATTAAATGGTTCGTCAAGAACCTTCTAGAGAGTCTGTATATTGTTTGTGTGTTCCTTAAATAGCCAGCTGACACAGGGGGATGATGATGACTGAAATGGGTATTGTTTCTCATTAAATTCCTTGTATTTTCTTCAATTTCCTTCATTTTTTATGTCTTCGGCTTCGGCGGTTGATGGATACAGTTGTTTCATATATCAGTTCTATTTTCGTCCCGCACAAAAATATGTCCTTTAATAATTCACTATAAAAGTTCTGTCATTTGTAAAGGAGTATCGATCTCTTCACAAACATCATCACTTTACATTTTCAGTTGAAACTAATGGAGATGTGATGTGAACTTGATCAGTAATCACCCGTAAATAGTACATGGAAGAAATTTGTGGATATGTATCAAATTATAATTTCTCTACGTCTTGTTCAAACTAGTATTTTTTGGGAATTGGAAGGAGAGGGAAAATTTGATTGAGATCTATATATCGTAAGTGAAGTCAGGGATAGCTTATTCACTATACATGATGTCGGCTAAACTTAAGCTACAAGCATTTCAAGTGATTGAAATCCATCAATTTATAATTGGTGGCATTAACCACATGAATTTTCAAATATTAAGTGGTTGGTACATAGTATTGACCAGTGAGAAATGTTAAGGAGATTTTTTCAAAAATGAGATTTTCCAATACTATTTGTCACCTCATACTTTTTACACAATATTATTTTATAATGTTGACACGAGAATTGATATTAAACTGTTAGCATTTCTCACATAATAGGAGTAAGATTCTCACATAATATTGATCAATACATAGTCGAAAAAAATAATGTAATTAGATGTTAAATTGGAAATGAATGCAGGTTCATATTCCTTAAGTTTGAAGTGTAATTGTCATTATTTTGATTGTCAAGTAAGATATTGAAATTGTATGGGTTTAGGGCTACATATATAATGAACATTTAAAAATAGGAGGGGTTGAGGGTTAAAGCAGCAAGACACACATAAAAGGGGTACAATCGGCCGTTACATCTGGGGTTATACAATATTTTTAGTCGTAATATAATAATTGTAAAGCTATTTAATTTTGTAGTATTGAAGTCTGAGTGCAAGGAGTTTGACTCACAGAGTCTAAAAGATACAACCGTTCAATAAATTTCACAAATTTTTATTTTATTTTATGTACGTATCACTGAGTGGTCCGAAAAATCAACAGTTACATCTTACATACAAAAATTTATTAAATTTTTGCAATGGTCTTATATAAAATTTATACCATTGAGTTATATGTATCGTTGTAAATAAAGAAAACAGATATTATCATAGCCCTAGCTATCTCACCAGTGATGGAATCTAATCTCTCCCATGAATTGAGAAAATGAATGCATGTCAAAATAATACGACACGATTGAGTAGTTAACAATGAAAATGTTATAGGGTCTATATTAATATTTAATATAGTATGAAGAGCTTTATCATCTAAATATGTGGTTATGTGTTTAATTTTCCTTAATAGTCAGAGCCATAAGCAGGGGAGTGGACAGGTATAACATACCAGCATGGAAGTGGGTTTGCATTTTACAGTATCTTAAATATTGTTTTATTATTATCGTTAATGATTTAGCACTAGATGTTATCATTTTTTTATATATAATAGTGGACGAGAGGGATCAAACATATAGAAATGAATACTCTTAACTATTACTCGAGTTACAATTTCTTGCATTCGGTATCTATACTTCTTTATCATTTTTTTTGTAAGATAAGAAAGGCTTTGTCACAACGGTGTAGTGTAAGCTAAAAACCCATATATGCCTAAGTTAAACTTAATAAAGGAGAATAAAACACAATTACCATTTTTATGCATGAAAATGAACATGCCTTTATATAGTGCTAGCCATGGACTTGTGAATGATTCGTTAAGGCACGTGTGACACTCCCTAAGTGGTTGGTTAGCACACCACATTATCCGATCCCTTTAGCCAACAATGGTTGATTATGGGATACGTGATGAATAGCATCAATTGAGAGTCTTGTTAAGGGACAACTCTTAACTAGCGTTGGAGAACATGACATATGTTTGAGCAATGATTATAAGGATCGTTATCCCTTGAAGATCATGTTGGTTCTTTCCTTGCATGGCCGTGCTGGGCAAATCTCTTATGCGAGCTCTTTTGGACTTGTGGATGTCATTTGGGCTATATCATTAAGCTTGCTGAGTGGAAGTGGTCTATTGCTTCGGTTTACATGAGTTCATCACATGAGGCGTGAAGAACACCTAGTCCCGGCAGGGGTGTCACCTTTACTAACACCTCTGCTGGCGTGATTTATGGGAAGACATCTCTTCTCGTGTTTAATATTAAACTCGCATAAACGACTCAAGTGTTGGCATATCCTTAAGAGTAATTTTGTCAATTGAGTCTGCTTCGGCACATTCAACGTCCCCTCTGAACCGATGAAATTTGGTTCCGACAGTAGGCCCCTAGACAATCTTTGAAATCCCACCGATGGACAAATTCAGCTCTTGCGCTGCCAGACAAAGCTTGTCTCATTATCACACATGAGGATGCCTAAACTGTTTTCTATCACGGGGATGACTTTCTTGGCAATATTTTCTTATTTTAAAATTGTATCATGGAGCCCCAAACCCTAATTAGTTAGGGCATGACAAACAGATCTAGGGTTTAATATAAATAAAATGGAAAATCATCCGTATGGAATAGAAAAAGAGAAAAAAAGAAAACATGAAGACGACAAAATCAGCCGCACCGCAGACTAATTATCATCGAATCGAATATGTGTATGTAAGTGCCTGATGCAGAAAATAAATTAGTCTCTGAAATTGTAGGGTACCTAGGGTTGGTAAGGGCCCTTAACTTAAACACTAAGACGAACAAATTAAGCTAAATTTTGAGAGACATCTTGCTGGAATCCTGTTCTGGGTCAATAGAAGGAAGACTTCTTTGCATGAATACATGTATTATTTTCCTGATTCTTTCTTCAAGCATAATTACTAAACATATATTCTACATTACTTTAGTCCTCACTTTTTTTTAGTTTTTTGGTAAAACCTTTCCGAATAAAGGAAAAGATTTTATTCTAAACAATATATTACAAACACAAGCCCACTAACAAAATAAGACCAGAAACACAAATGGACCTCCCAGCTAACCAAAAAAAGCTCAACCAAGAGCCTAACACCATAGACAGAACAAAAGAAACTTCTCGACCCCAGTATACCCCACCGTAGTAGTGTTTCACGATCAACTCAGAACACTTCCTCCAGCAGATGCCAATAATCAATCAAGCAGTTCCCCTTGAAACCAACCACGAAAGCCACCCCGATCTCAGCCAGAAATTAGAAGAATCCCATAGGATTGCCACGAACAACACTGCCATTGAAGGCAGACCGAGAGGAGGAGGTGGTGTTTTAAACAATGTGAGCTGATGCGCCCACCGGAGCTCAATGCACCCTCTCGAATGGTTGCAACAAATTGCGATGAAAACTTACTACAAAAAAAACAAAAACAAAACAAAATTAAGATCGTTTAGTCAATCAATTGTAGCAAATAGATAGACAGTTTGTAATGTTTTTACCGAATTTGTCCATTTATTTTTATACAGTTTGATAACTAAGCAATCTTAGTTTTAATTGATCTTTTGTAGAGATGATTTTTACATATTAATTTATAATATGAACAATTCCAACCATAGATTTATAAGCACGAAATTTTGTGAATAGGACACGGTCATTGGCGGATCTAGGACTCTAACCTAATAGGGTTCCAATGTAAAATATTCAAGTGCGCACAACGCTCAAAATAATTTTTTTTTTTTTTCATCGAGGAATTTAGTCGAGCACTTAGTAGACATTTCGTCATCATCCTAGTTCTATCGATAGCTTCCAAGGCATGATGCCAAGTTTTACCTGCCAAGGCTTGTCCCAGGGTCTGCTGAGCATCACTTGCCAATGTCTGTCGAATTCTACCTAAGAGATATTTCATCGAACAGTTTGTGGGCATACTTATGTCCCAAGAGAACTCCCTGAATCCACCCTTGGCCACGACGTATTTTAAGAAAAAATTCCTCCTTAATTCTTGAGGAGCCAAGCCTATTATATCTCATCATGTGTGTATTTGTATATAATTTTTTCTTTTATCTTCATACTTACCCTTACTTTTGTTCCGCAGTAGAAGTGAAATATAAATACTTATCCACCACTCCCAGTGCTAACATCACCATTGCCTCTCTCTAGTTAATTCCTATGATCACGCTTGATAGTTGCTACTCGTCTTAAAGGTTTTCTATTCTTCTTTTTCTTTCCTTGCACTTGTATTTTGTCAGAGGAAATTGATCTTCTTCGCTGCTTGGACCCAAATTCACACATTATGGTATTAACTACGAATGAAATTAATAATACGCATACTAGTGGTGTATTATCGAGTTTATTAGATGTTTGAGATCATATTTCCTTTGTCGTCTGAGTACAATGATATATTTACACTAAGAGGGTGAGAGTAACAAATTAATTTTATATTCGTCATCCATGAAATTCAAATCTAAGACCTCTTACTTAACGGTTAACAATTCTTATTGATCAATACCAAATGACGTGACACATGCAGCTTTGCAATTGAATGAGAGTAAAGAAAAGGGCATCACAAAATTAACTTCTAATAAAAAAGATTTGATCACTTTGATAGAGGAAGTCACTTTGTTTCCTTTTCTTTCAGATTAATGAGAAGCGAGAGTAGGAAAGGGAAGCCATTATCTACATATTTGGGGCCTGTGGAGGTTCTGAGGTTTATGTCGTTTGGGCACATATAAACAAGGGGTTCTATTTTGGATTTCAATTTGTGAACTCTATTTTACCAGTGTCGAATTTGTAGTACACAATTGTCAATAAGAAAACATATAAAAAAGCGAATAGGCCCTTCCATCCATATCCAACGGGTCCTTCGATCCTGTCCGTTCAAACAAAAATCGAATGACCAGAAATTAATTCCATGTTCACCTTCACCTTCTCCTGTTCATCTTCTTCTTTCTTCTTCCCTGTTAACCTTCCCATGTTCATCTTCTTCCCTTTTCTCCATCTCTCTCTCCAGCTTCAGAATTGAAAGATCCAGAGGATCCGGAGAGAATCCCGGTCCTAAAAACAGAACCACTCTTCAGCTACATAAATGCTTCCTTATACTTTCTTCACTCACCCTTGTTGGTGTGGTGGGTTGGGCCGAAACAAAGTTATGGGGATGACACCCATGCTCAGGAAACAGAGTTTGATTGCTATTACACATAACCCATATGGATTCTAAATTGCAGCACAATAGGCTGAATAAAGGTTTAAGGGTGCACGAATAAACTATCCAACCTTAACAGGACCGGTGTTCGCTGGTTTCTGAAACACTCTTACAACTGGCATTCCATCTCCACCATCATTGCCTACCCTCCAGGAGCGATCCTTTTTCCTCTGAGTCTTTTTGTGTTGTTTATGAGGCGCAGTGGGCTTCCTGACAGCGACTTTCTTCTTGGTAGCAAGCCCATTAGCTATGTCAAATGAATTGAGGTCTTCCAGGGCATGATCAAGCTCCGGCTCGTCTTCACCTTCATCATCTTCAGAGTTTTCATCATCAGAGGAGCCTGACTTATGATGTTCAGGTAAGACGTTTCCCACATCATCTTCCTCAGCAGTCATTCCAGGGGGCATTTGATAATGGGGCAGTTTCCCATCAATGTAATCCTTCAAAATTTGGCGGGCAGCTTTTGTTTCATCAGGAAGTCCACTTGAGGCAACATAACCACGAGAGGCACAATAGGCCCTCAAAAATTCTGCTGCCAGAGGAGGTCGAGACTGCAATTCATAGGATTTGGGTTGGGGCAGATCAATCCTGTAAACCGCCTCAATAACATGTCTTGGAACTCGATTGGCCACTACCTGCACAGCCTCCCTATTCTCGGTCATTCGATCAATTGGCAATACACCAGAAGCAATCATCTCATGTCTAGAGCTTGAAAATGATGGAAAGACTAATCCAGGGCAATCACATAGCATTAACTCATCAGACATAATCAATGTTTGGAAATGCTTTGTCTTCCCAGGAGTAGAGGTAACACCTGTCTTCTTCTGGCCTACCAAGGCATTAATAGTCGAGCTCTTTCCCACATTTGGATATCCAACAAATCCCACAACTACATTACTGGAAGCTGAATTTCCAACAACACTTCCACTTCGAGAATCATTGGATCCTGATTTCCTCAGTCTGACTATTTCTTCTGCCTCAGATTGTAAACGAGCCAATAGCTCAATCCTCCCATATATTTTAGTATCAGGGTCTTCTGACTCGTGCAGGTTATCTTCTGTCCACGGGGAACTGAGATTTTTCCCTTCTGTAGCTGCTGTAGCGGCTTTAGCCGACCAAAACACAAAGAGAATATCTTGCGAACAGAAATAATTAGCCCACTTCTCTCTGAAAAAAAAAAAAAAAACCAAGTAATAAAAATATTTTAGAAGGGTGTGAAGTTGGAGAACAGATCAGCTGATCAAGGTTACAAAAGTACGAACCTAACAGATAAAGGTAAGAGATCTGCTTTGTTAACAAGAAGCATTGTCCTTTTGTGCTTGTCGACCTCTCGTGCATAAACCTGCACGAAGTAAAGATAAGTACTGTTATTCAAAGTTATCCTCTAGTTAAAAAGGAAAGGCTCAGGGTTTCTCCATTTCAAAGTATCTTGATAGAAAACTTTAAACGGCTTGTCCCCTGAAAATTCAATGGAAGGGACTCACCATCAAGAATGATGGCAAAAAGTTACAACATCTCTTTCTTTGTAACAGGTATAAACTAACTTAATCCTGTTAGCACTCTATATGTTACTAAACACACGGTTAACAGTAACAACTTGTTCTTTTGAAACCTCACAAGTGAATGTTCTTGTTTCTAGAACCAATGAGTGTTAAGTAATTTTGTCACATTCGTCATTTTTGAAACCTATATCGCTATCAAGCACTGCCACCAATTAATCACATTTCAAAGGTTAAACAATGTGCTTATCCACCTATCATCCATTTGTCAACAAACACGACAAGGTAATGTAAACGGATGACAAAATTGATAACATTACCTCAAGATCAGGGCAGCGATAGAATAGCGGGTCTCGCGCATCAACAACCATCACAAGCTGAAATAAAATACAGCACAATATTATTACACAACAATGATTCATAGTGACATTGAAACAGAGACAAGGCCATTGGCCTACTTACCAAATCGCTACGCTCCACAACCCGCCATAGCTGCCTCCAAATATCGAGGTTCTTCTCGAAAGGAGTAAGGAGAAGCTTGTCGTTCTCCTCAAGCCTGGCAAGGCTTCTGCGCCAAGTCAAGAAGGCTTGCCTTTCATTGTTATCCAGCTCCTCCACAGACATTTGAGGGGTCCACGCAGGCCTCCGCGGCACCCGCAGACTTCCGGCGTGCAGGGCCTCCTCTTTCCTCTTCTGCTCCCTCCCCTGCTCCGGGGTTATCTCATTCCCATCTCTTCTCTCATAGTAAAATTACATAAAAATCAATTCGATAATCCCAAAAAAACCAGAGGAATTTGGAAAATTTGATTGATTGGAGGGGTAAAAGGGGGAAATAAAACAGAACTTACAGGTCGATGAGGAGGTTAGGGGCAGGGTGGTCGAGGGAGAAGAGGCGGTCGGCCTCGTCAGCTTGTTCGACGATGGCGTCGATGTCGCTGACTTCGGTGACGGATTCGAGAACCTTCTTCTGCTGCCTCTTGTACATCAGGCCTTTCTCTTTCGTTTGCTGAACCAGCTGGTTGTGCTGTCTCACCAGAGCCCTACCCAGACCCGTCTTCTCGTTCTTACCCATTCTCTCTCTCTCTCTCTCTCTCTCTCTCTCAGAGTATCAGATGGAAGGAAAGGTGGTGGTTTCGATGGAGGTATATGCCGGGGAGAGGCGGGGATTGACGGCGGCCGGGGAGGGGGAACTGAGAAAGAACTGGGAATTTTTTTAGGAAATTATTAACTTAATTTTAAGGCTTTATACCCACCGTTCAGATTGATCTGACGGCTACAATATAAATATGTACACATGGTATGTGTGTACTAGTTCTAGGGTTTAAGATTAGATATTTGTATGTAAGTATTTCGTTTATATTTTAAATTCCAAATTTCTTTACACTAATATGATTGATAATCTTAATTGGGTTTTTTTTTTTTATTCTTTTTGGTAGACTTCTATATCACAAAAGAAGGACGAGTTTCTTGTTAACATCTTCCAATAGCAACCAGACACATCAATGGAGGAGTTGACACGTGATCCACAAGTGTCTCTACAATTGTTGATGGATGGGGATGACCAACGAAAAGGCAAAGAATTCTACGGCTTAAGAGAGGGTCAAATTTGAGACCTCGAGGGAACTTCTTCTTCATCTAGCTCTCATTCTCCAATCAGGACGTCTTCCAAATTGCAAAAGTTGGAGATGGAGGTCTTTGCCTTAAAAAGAAAATTCGAAAGAGAAAGGCATTAAAAAGAAATTTCGAAAAGCATTACAAAGAAAGATATTTCTTTAAAAATCGATTACAACTAGAAAGCTCTTCACCTGTTTTTAGCTGGATCCAAAAATGTTGCAACCCGAGTTGTTCGTATAAGAATGTCTAATGGTGCATCATTATCATTTTTTACATTCACCCTATAGACAACAGGTTTCTGCACAACCACAAAACGAATAAAAAATTGCATAGAAATAGAACAACCTAAGAAACTTTTTGGATTGTGTTTCATTTTTTTTATTAATTAATTTTTAACAATTTTGATGTTCACACATTTCTACTTGTTTTTTTTTTTTTTTGTGTTTCATTCGGTCCTGATGCGCCAGATGGAGGCCCAATTGCAAATATGGCCCATGCGCCCTTGGTCCTCTGAGCGCCATGCTTTTCTTTCAAAAAAAGAAAAAAAGAAAAAAGAAAAAAGAAAAAAGAGTCGCTATATAATAAACCCTAAACATGCTCGGGTGCGGTGGACAGAAGAATCGGCTGTTTCAATTCAGGTAATCCTCTCTCTTCTTCTTTCCAATTTCTTTTTATTTTGACTTCCTCAGCTGTATACCCATAATTTTTGTTTTTGAAGCGAGTGATGAGTCTGAAGACTATAACAAGATATGGAAACTTGACGATACTCTGTATCTTAGCATGACTGGTAGCAAGTCGGTCGTCGAAAAGATGAAAATCGATACTAAAAATTACCCTTGACGATACTCTTGATTCTGTTTTATTTTTTCTCGCATTTTATAGATACTCTCTATTTTATAGATATGGAAACCTGTTACAGATACTCTCGCATTTTATATACCTTGTTTTCATTTTTTGACGCATACAGGTTTCTGCAAAAAAAAAAAAACCCATAAATTCTGCAAAAAAAAAAATACCAATAAAAATTGGAATTCAAATAAAACATAAATAATTCAAAAACAACATACCTGATCAACAAAACTATAGAAAAACGAAGCAGCATTCTAATACTTCAAGCACCCAATGACGAAGCTGATCTTTAGTGAAATCGGTACGTTTATTATCACCAGCAATTTTTTTCAAGTATTAGAAGCTATTCAGAGAAACATCTTTAAAGACGGGAAAGCTTTTCAGTCATGGTAAGATACAATGCTAAAAATATATTCTCTTGTATCTTACCTTGATCGCTGTGAAAATTTGAAAAGCTTTCCTGTCTTTAAAGATGTTGCTCTGAATGGCTTCCACTACTTGAAAAAAATTGCTGGTGATAATAAACGTCTTGATTTCACTAAAGATCAGCTTCGTCATTGGTTGCTTAAGTATCAGAATGCTGCTTCGTTTTTCTGTAGTTTCGTTGATCAGTATGTTGTTTTTGAGTTATTTATGTTTTATTTGAATTCAAATTTTTATTGGTTTTATTTTTGTGCTTCAAATTTTTATTGGAATTATTTTTGCAGAAACCTGTTATTTACAGGGTATGCTTCAAAAATGAAAACAATGCACCCATTGACGTTTCTACTCTTGCTGAGAACGCTGGATTTGATTTTCTCGGATCTAGCATTAAACAAGCTAGGTAGTACTTGGGGGAAACTGAGTTTTTCAGAAGGTATCCTTTTTAATCCTTATATATTAATGTATCAAACCTTAAATTTTTGTGTGTGTGTGTTTTTTTAATTCGAATATTTTAACATCTGCTGTATTATAATTTATAGGTGTGAGGAGTTTGAAAAAGATGGCAATGTGTCTGTTGGTGACATTTTTGTCCAATTTGCGAAGAACTACTTTGCTAGGGTCTGTTCAATTCTAAAACAGGTAGGATTACATGCAAGCCCACTGAAACAAATTTTCATACATAACGAGGACATGAGTGCACCATCATACTGGAGATGAGAGTTCAATTACAGATGAAGATATATGAGACTTTGAATTTCCCGATCTTCAAATGTAAGATTAGTCCTAAAACAACATAGTTTGCCCTTTTTACCTGTCCGCTATCAAGGAATGTGTGCGTTTGAGATGAATGGCAAAGTTAAACAGTGCTTTTTCGAACTACCAATATCACAGGCCAACCTTAAGCATCACCTTGGTTCTTGTTACTTTTCAAGTTTGAACCATTTCCAATTTGCATACCTACTTAACTTGTTAAAAGGCAGTGCATCATCTTCAGGGGATTCTGCCCTTAAGATCGGCGAGCACAGCGGTCACCTTTTGCCTAATACTCAGGCGAAACAAGGGGATGGTGCTACCTCGCTGTTTGATGAAAAGAGGCCACGCTCACTTTCAAGGCCAGCAATGCTGCAAGCCAAGAAAAGTAGAATTCGGCATCAGTTGGGACTTTCAAGGCCTGCAATGCCGCAAGCCAAGAAAAATTGAATGCTGCAAGCCTTGCATCTTTTCATATTTTCCAAGAACCATGATGTTTTTGTCTCTCTTTTTTGCAGAACCTAATAAACAAAGGGCATGAACCTGAAACTTCAGACCATGGTTCGCAAAAGCTTCATCAGCAGACAAAATGTACTTGGAGCAATCCTCAACATATGAAAAATGTTTTATGAAACAACAGATGTTGTACAAACCTTGTCAAAGCATGTTATTTTTCTCCACTGTGGACATCAGAGAAAAGTACACGGCAGCTCTGCTATGGGACCTATCTCCATCGTGACTGCCTTTTCCACCAGAGAACACAAAGGCCTTTTTTCCAACACAATCATCATCTGTCAACTGAACTGAAGGTCTTCCATTTTTGTTTACTGGTGCGAGGCTCATGCATAAATAACTTGTACACAATTTTGCAAGCTACCAGAATGTGATACATTTCACCTTGCATATAGATATATTATCTTTGTGATACGTTTCAAACTACCAGAATAAATCTTCAAGAATCAGCTGAAGTTCTGAAACTTTTCAGAATGGGGCAATTCTGAGGAGCAACCATTAGGTAAAAAGTATTACATAACTGCATGCCTTTTCAGTTTAAAGTTCGGAATTTTGATTGGGGTGTGATATCCACACACCTTTTTTTACTTCTCACACACCTTTCTAAGTTTCGACCGTTGGATCGGGTGAATTGAAGAAGATCAAAGGGTAGAAATTAACAAGGGGTGTGTGGATAGCACACCCCTTTTGATTTATATTCTGAATAACGATATTATGTCTTCTGATCATCTTCATTCATTTAGATACATTGAAAGGTAATGCTATTTTACTTCCAATTTGTGGCGTTCTGATCTTTCAAAAGCACAACAACACACATGCAACATTTCTTCAAAAGAGACAAATTCAGGGAAACTATGAGCCAGTCTGATTTTGAGGTAAGTTTTAAAGCTAGCATACCTCCTGTTAGTTTCTCCTATCCTCACTTGAGCTCCATATGGAAATATTTTCTTAACGGCTCCTTCCAAAAGTGTTCCTTCCTTAAGGTTTAAGAGTTCCTGTAACAGTATATAGCAAACCGATGTCAGTTCTGAAGAAAAATAAGATCATAAATTCTAAAAACAAAAAATGAGAGAACACTCAAAGCAACAAAAGAACATGAATAACTTAAGTGTCAATATCCTAACTGACCCAAGCTTCTTTCTCGCTCAATACTAAGTCATTCTTAGCTTCGTCTATTCGAGTAATCTGCACATGCATCCGGCAACCCACCTACACCATTAGGATACATATGCAAGAAGCAGATTAACAAATCAAATTTATGAAACTATATGAGAAGGAAAAAGTTAAACAATGAAAAGGTGTTGGTGCCACATTAAGAGGCTGAGTGAGATGAGAATACCCGGCCTACCCTGCCCTGTTGCTGATTCCTAGTGTCAATACTTGTACAAATAGCTTCACCAGAAAGAAGATTTTCAAACTTCAATTTAAAAATCTTACTTAAATTTAAACACATCACGGACACATTGATTAACTATAATATACGTTCAAAAGATGACAAAAAAATCGACAAATGTGGAATCTTGATGAAAATGAGAAAAACTTCTAAATGAAAATTCTTGATATTTGTAGGGATATAATTGCCTTATCCACACTCTTAAGCATCCTCATTGCCTTGACTACACTTTAAGGCTAAAGCACACTCTTATCATTATGAAACACTGGCTTTAAGAAAACAGTGTATAATGGGTTGTGTCCAGTGTTTCAAGTGCTTCAAGTAGCCACAAGCAAGCATTGATGTTAATGATAACTCTGGCTGGTTGGACTATCAAAAGTACATAGAATTTCCAATTATTATTCTTGTATTTTCATCTCTTAATAATACTGACATCTCAAAGAAATTGCTTCATTCGACGTTGATAGTGTCATAGAAAGAAGTAGTTCCAGTGGATACATGATATCAGTACTGATTGATGGCTTGGATGCATTAACATAAAGAATACAAATCATACCGGAAATGTAGCTAAATGAACACTGCATGAAAATATATATACACACACACATTCCACAAAACCTTCAGTGAAGTTGTTCACTTTACTCATTAAGTAAGTTTTTGGAAGGAAAGCTCCGAGACCCTAATGAACCAAATTGTGAAATGTTAGTTTGGAAACAAATACACCTTCACAATTTACACAAGACAAAGACACAAGCCTCAATTCTTGTAAGAAGGCCTCCAGTATTCCATTCTGTAATTCTAACTTCAGTAGGTTCATTGAGTTGTTTTATCTGTACATCATGTCGAAAAGCTCTAGGAAAAATTTGGAATACATTCTCACCCAACATCACCAGTCAGAGTGTCATGAGCTAAATGCTACGGTCAACGTAGTAGTTGCGAAGAGAAAATCAAGTATCATGAAGTCATGATAATAAAAGACTTAAGAGTTCCGAATTAACAAATAAATATGGTCTAACAAATTAGCAAAACGCCAACTAACGTGGGGTTTATGTTTAACTTCTAATTTATGTTCAAATAATTCTTTTAATAAAAAATTTGGATTCTTCTTTTTTTTTTTTTTTTTTGGTAAAAGACCATAAAAACCTTAATTTAACATACAAGAGGGTAGTTATACAAAAACTTGACACGTGTTCTTCTTTCTAAAATGAGATGGAGTTGTTAATTGTGAAAGACCGTTTTAAGCCAAAATTTCATTATAAATACGGTATAGTATTAACTAAAGCTTTCATACTACTCAATTGTATCGATATTAAGAAATTGACTGAATAGATGAACTATAAACCTCAACTTCCCTTCATTTCTGTATATTTGCAGTTGCTTTTCCATATAAATCTTCTCTTGCAAAGAAATTCAAAGGGCTCTAATTGTATGGACTTTATAACCGGCTATCGAACAATTCCCTGTACTAAATCTTCAACTCCTTCGCATAAATAACATGGAGCACTTTGACCGTTGCCTAGGGATAAACCTGCTATCCAACCGTTCCCACACGATGGGTGACAAAAAAATTAATGCTAGGAAGACCAACTTTTTAAAACCAAATGATGTAATTCCTTTCATTTACTAGTGAAAAGAAATCCCACTAAACTTTAGAACTAAATGACCATATCCTTCCACTTCGCACAGTTATTATATAATGGCAACAGCTTGTATTTGAGACGAATTAAATCGCTCCACGTACGAACAAACTAAGGCCGCTGAAGGCTAGTACAACCCACAAAGTTTTCATCATGGTTTATATATATATGCTCTCTGGAAAAAGATCCTCTCCATATCCCTTTCACCAAATCCACCCAATCAATCAATCCGAACCTTTAAAATTTGATCCAACGGCCGTTTAAAAGTTATAATAATAACTTTAGCCGTTAAATCAAATTTGAAGGATCCAGATTAGGTGATTGGGAGGGATTGGGAGGATTTGGTCGAAGGGATCCGGAGAGGATCCCTTTCCCTCCTCTCCAATAGGTGGAGAAGGGGAGGGAGAGATCTCTGGCTCCCTTTCCCTCCCATCTAGTAGGTAGAGAAGGGGGAGGGGGAGATTTGATGGAAGGGATCCGGAGAGGATCCCTTTCCCTCCTCTCCAGTAGGTGGAGAAGGGGGAGGGGGAGATGCCGGTGCCAGCAGTTTCCTCTTGTACAAGTTATACACCAGGCTTGACCATAGCTCTCTGTGCGACTATTTCACCAGGGTGGGCTACTTCTGGGTCCTCCTGACAACACCAACAGACTATTTCGGCATAAGGGCTGACAAGTACGCCGGATGGGACAAAATACGTCAAGGGGCAGGTTGCAACAGTGTGGTCATCCTTCCAACAAATTATACACGTACCATACCTCTCTGATTCGGAACCATCTGTGACAAAACCAAAAAAAAAAAGAAATAAACACAGCTGACCACACAACTTACGTTCAACGAGTAATCATTTTCATTTTAATCCAGAAATGTATTGAAAGACAGTAAACCAATCGACAACATAAACAGAAACATATAAATTAACAGACAGATGAAATGACATGTCAATGATCGCTCCCATCAACAAATTACTGGTTACTTATATATATGTATATAATCCTTTCTGGGTCATGCATCGCAATCATTCATGCACCAAATGAAAAGACTTGAGCAGCGAGTTATGCAACTTGAAAAACTTTGGCACAATATTTCCTCAACCCAGTGGCAATAAATCATCAGACCTCTCAACCTCTAGTTATATGAAAGCACTAAAAACCTAGAGGAAATAACATGCACAAAGGAGCATCTCAACCCAGTGGCAATAAATCATCAGACCTCTCAACCTCTAGTTATATGAAAGCACTAAAGACCTAGAGGAAATAACATGCACAAAGGAGCATCTCAACGCTCACACGGTAATACTAGGAGCAGAAGGATAAATTTCACAAAACTTTCAGCAATCAATTTGATTCCGACATGAAAAAAAAAACACACACAATGGGTAAGCTAGAAAGCACTCATAATTAGGTAAGCCCGACATACCGACTCATTCATGCACCAAACGAAAAAACTTGACTAACCAAGTTAGATAACTTCAAAAACTTTGGCATAATATTTCCTCAACCCAGTAGCAATAAATCGTCGGACCTCTCAACCTCTAGTTATATGAAAACACTGAAGACCTAGAGGAAATAACATGCACAAAGGAGCATCTCAAGGCTCACACGGTAATACTAGGAGCAGAAGGATAAATTTCACAAAACTTTCGCCAACAAATTGATTCCGACATTGAAAAACACAATGGGTAAGCTAGGAAGAACGCATAACTAGGTAGGCCAGACACACCGACTCATTCCGCCGATTTGTGTATTGTAATTTATATTGAAAACACAAAAGTAAGGCAGTACTTGAAGCTAATTAGCAGTGATGGTGAAGTAATTGACCATTCTTCTATGAACAATCCAATTCAATTAAAGTTTAATTTGTGTAACTATTTTCAAATCTAAGAAAAATTGCTATATCAAACAAAATTCTATTACATACACCAAAAAGCAAATAAACACAAGTTTCGAACTCAGGAATTTAAGTATGAAATTAAATTTCTGGCGGAAAAAGAAATTAAGCATACCAGAATCCGACCAATATTTTTCGTCAGGATCGTCCGCCTCTGGTCCTTGTTCCACAGCGGCCTCTGGTACTTGTGCCTCAGCCGCCTTTTGCCCTTGTGCCTCTGCCGCCTTCGATCCTTGTGCCTCTGCCGCCTCCGATTCTTCTGCCTCTGCAAGCCGTGGTTTTTTAGTAGGCCGCATCTGTTTGTGATCAGGACGGATCCGGCCGGATTCTGGTGTCTGGGGAGGCATGGGTGTGTCTGTGTGAATTGGAGAGAGAGATCGGAAAATCTAGGGTTTGCTCTTGCGGTGAGAGTGAGAGAGGTAGCGTACCAAATGCGAGAGATCCCAACCTTTATCCTTCGTCCGAACTTATCTCTACTATTAAATAATGCAAGGGGAGGCCCACCATTTAACCCATCCTTAATGTCAGTCAGAAATTGAAAACAGGAGGCCCACCGACAAGCGGAGCAAGAGCCGTTGGATTATTTTGCGTTACTATTTTTCAACGGTTCAGATGCTAGCAAGATTAGGTTAAAGTTTCAGATTCGTGTACTTTGTGTTTCCGCAACTCTGTCAGCCGCTTCGTATTTCCGGGCTGTTTAGGCTCAATTCATATGCATCGCTAGATATGAAATGAGGAGAAATGAGGAGATCTGATCTGAAATGTTTACCGGATGCATATATGTTCCAAAGTTTTTTCAATTTTATCATATCTCAGAAGGCGTAAATGTTAAAATTGAACTAGGTTAACGTAAAGCTTTTGTGAACACAAAGTATATTGCACTGATAAACTTGGGAGAATTCTTATTGAATTGAAAGACATCAACTAGCTATTATATAGCTTTACATCAACCAGAAAGTGAAATAACAACCCACGATAAACAAACCTTAGAATCGTGGTAATCGACTAAGTCAAAAAAGAAAACAAACAAACTTGTCCCTCAAGTGTAGGAGGGTTATTAGCATGTCCAGGGATAAGCCCTAGAATAAAGGAACCCTATCATCTAGAATCTCGGATAACTTCAACATCCTCCCTTAAATTGAATATCATTGATATTCAGTTTATTCTAGGGCATTTTGCAAACACCCATTAAATTTCGCAGCTTCTGAAATACTTCAAGTTTCAGCGGCTTCGTCATTATGTCTGTTATCTGCTCATGCGTAGAACACTGCAGCAACTCCACTACCTCATCTTTAACAAGATCTCGTAGGAAATGAAACCTTACATCTATATGTTTACTACGACCATGCATTACTGGATTCTTTGAAAGCTTAATGGTTGAGACATTATCACAATAAACTACTGTCGAACCAGTTTGCCTCAAATTCAAACTACTCAAAATCCTTCTTAACCACACTACTTGACACGCACTTGAAGCTGCAGCAATGAACTCTGCTTCAGTGGTGGAAAGAGTGACCACTGGTTGCTTCTTCGAGGACCATGAGACTGCTCCTGAATTCAACATAAATACATAACATGACGTGCTCTTTCTGTCATCTTGATCACCAGCATAGTCACTATCCGTATAGCCAATAAGCCCTTCATCTCCTCCCTTCTTGTAGAACACCCCAAACTCAACAGTGCCCTTTATGTACCTTAAAATCCTTTTGGCTGCCATCACATGAGTCTCAGCAGGATACTCCATGTACCTGCTGATTAGGCTTACGGTGTACATAAGATCAGGTCGTGTAGCTGTTAAGTACATAAGACTTCCAACCATCTACTTATAAAATGTGCTATCTACTCTCACTCCTCCTTCATCACGAGTGAGTTTGAAACCAGGAACCGCAGGGTTATGCACTGAGTTGCACTGACCCATGTTAAACCTTTCTAACACTTCATGTGCATACTTACGTTGACTCATAAAAATACCATCTGATGTCTGTATTACTTCAATGCCAAGAAAGTACCTCATTTGTCCGAGATCAGTCATTTCAAACTCAATCGTCATGGATTTCTTAAATTGCTCAAACAACACACCATCATTCCCAGTGAAAATAAGATTATCAACATATAGGCATACAATCAATATTTTACCTTCATTGGCTGTCTTGATAAACAATGTGTGCTCAAATGGACATTTGCTGAAGCCTTCCTTGATAAAATACGCCTTTATTCGACTGTACCATGCTCTTGGAGCCTGCTTGAGCCCATATAGCACCTTTTTGAGACGATATACCTTGGCTTCGCTTCCCTTCTGTTCATATCCAAGTGGTTGTTCAACAAAGACTTCTTCATTAATCCCTCCATGCAAGAAAGCTAATTTGACATCGAGTTGGTAGATCTTCCAACTCCTTTGTGCAGCAAGGGAAATAACCACTCGGATTGTATCCAATCGTGCCACTGGTGCGAACACTTCAGAAAAATCTACTCCATATTGTTGGCTATACCCCTTGGCAGCAAGCCGAGCCTTGTACTTGTCAACCTCTCCATTTTCATTTAGTTTTGTCTTGAAAACCCACTTTACTCCAATAATTTTTCCTCCTGATGGGAGGTCAGTCAACTCTCATGTATTATTCTTCTCTATTGCTTCTATTTCTCGATTCATTGCTTGTTTCCACTTCTCACTCTTCATGGCTTCGCAATAAGTAGTGGGATCGCCGTTAGTAAACAAGACTAGATGAGCCAGGTTCATACTTTCTTCATCAGAGAGACCTTCACCAGTGTTATAGTCTTTCATCCAAATTGGTGGCCTTCGAGCTCGTCCCTCTTGAGGTACACTGCCTTCATTTGTGACATCTTCTTATTCGAATGAGTTATCACCATCCGACTCATGAGCTTCAGATTCTTCTTTATCTTCTTCTTCATTTCCTTCATCTTCTGTAACTGTTTCTTCATCAAGATTAGCTAAGATAGCTTCCTCATGGCTTTCATCCCAAATCCATTGTTGATCTTCCTCAAATACCACATCTCGACTTATAATAATTTTGTTTGAGACAGGGTTAAACAATCTATAAGCTTTGGATTCTTCACTTACCCCCAACAGTATACATTTGATGCTTTTGTCATCAAGTTTCACTCTTTTGCTATCAGGTACGTGCACATGAGAGATGCAACCAAAGACCTTAAAATGCTCCACCGATGGTTTGCGTCCACTCCATGCTTCCTCAGGTGTCTTGCTTTTCATAGCCAGGGTTGGACTTCGATTCAACACGTGAACTGCCCAGTTCACTGCTTCTGGCCAAAAAGTCTTTGGAATATGCTTCTCTGATAACATACATCGAACCATATTCATGATAGTTCGATTCTTTCGCTTAGCAATGCTGTTTTGTTGAGGCGTGTAGGCAGCTATCAACTGTCTGTGAATGTCATTCTCATTGCAAAAATATGTGAATTCATGTGAAGTGAACTCACCTCCTCGATCCGTCCTCAAACTTCTTATGAATGCTTCTGTTTCCTTCTCCACTTTGGCTTTATACATCTTGAACACTGCAAAAGCTTCTGATTTCTCCACCAGAAAATAAACCCAAGTTCTTCTACTGTAATCATCAATAAAAGTTATGAGATATCTCTTCTTACTGTTTGAGATTGGGTTTATAGGACCACAAATGTCAGCATGTATCAACTGAAGGATCTTCGAGGCTCTCCATGCACTTTCCCTAGGAAAAGAGTCACGATGCTGCTTCCCCACAAGATAGCCTTCACACACTTTCTGAGAGGCTTTGAACTTTGGCAGCCCCTCAACCATATTCTTTTGTTGTAGCACTTTCAATCCGCTCCAACTTAAATGTCCATATCGACAATGCCAGCGATCTGCTTGATCTGTAGTTGTCAGGGAGAGACGACTTTGTGTCTTTACTGGGCAGCGAGTAACCAAGGCAAACATCCTATTGTGTGTCATATCAGTTCAAGTATGAGACCTTTCTCAGGGTGGAAGATCTTACACTTGTCATGTTGCATTAGCACTGCAAGTCCCCTCTCTTGTAGTTGACCGATACTCAACAAGTTATTCTTTAATTCAGGTACAAAGAAGACTTCTGTAATCACATGCATGGTCCCATGCACCTCCATTCGCACTTTGCCCTTGCCTTGTACACTGAGACTGAAGTTGTTTCCCAGCTTGACTGACTCTCGAAAATTGGCATCTATTTCAATAAATGCTTCCTTGCTACCACACATATGGTTGCTACACCCAGAATCAAGAAACCAAACATGCTATATCTCAGCTTCCTTGACATCCACCTGCGCCATTAGCAGCATTTCTTCCTTTGTTTCTGCAAAATTAGCCTTAGAGTCCTTAGCCTTGTTAAGGCATTCCCACTGAAAATGCCCTAGCTCGTGACAATTGTAGCATTCCAGGATAGACTTGTCGAACCCAAATCTACCTTTTCCTCTTCCTCTTCCATGATAGGAGCCACGGCCACCACTTCTTCCTCCTTGTTGGACTCCAGTGGTTACTTGGAGAGCTTGTTCATCCACCACATGTCGACTTATCCTTTGTTCATGCAAGAAGACTACTCTGAAGTTCATCAATGGATAGAGTATCCAAGTCATTCGACTCCTCGATCGAACAAACAACATAGTCAAATTTTGAAGTCATAGACCTCAAAATTTTCTCAATGATCACTATATCCTCCATTCTTTCTCCATGCACCCTCATCTTATTAGCTATAATGAGTGTTCTTCCAAAGTAATCATTGACAGTTTCTCCAGTCTTCATATGCAATACTTCGAACTTTTTTCGAAGTGCCTGCAACTGAGCACGTTTCACACGCGCTGTCCCTTGATACTTCTGCTTCAAGGAATCCCATATGTCCTTCGCCGTGTCCTTCTTCAAGATCGTTTCCAGGATTGAACGATCCATGGCCTGAAATAGGTAGTTCTTGGCCTTCAAGTCTTTCAACTTCAGCTCCTCCTGCGACTGTACTAATTCCTGTCTCCACCAGATTCCAACCTTAGAACGCAGAAAGTTTTCCATAAGCATACTTCAGTGATCATAGTGCCCATCGAGCCTCGGGATAGCAGGTTGCACAAAGCTATTCTCAGACGTCATGTTCTTGTTCTCTTACACACACAACTGTGTTTGCAGATTTTTGGTCAGGCCCCATGATGGGGCTCTGATACCAGATGTTAAAACTAAACTGGGTTAACGTGAAGCTTTTGTGAACACAAAGTATATTGCACTGATAAACTCGGGAGAATTCTTATTGAATTGAAAGACATTAACTAGCTATTATATAGCTTTACATCAACCAGAAAGTGAAATAACAACCCACGATAAACAAACCCTAGAATCGTGGTAATCGACTAAGTCAAAACAGAAAACAAACAAACTTGTCCCTCAAGTGTAGGAGGGTTATTAGCACGTCCAGGGATAAGCCCTAGAATAAGGGAACCCTATCATCTAGAATCTCGGATAACTTCAACAGTAAATCTGTTTTTGTTAATTTTTTTTGTTCTTGTTTAATTTAATTTTGTTTTGTTTTTTTCGTTCAATTTACGAATCTAGTTGATTTACTTGTGTGTGTTTTTTTCTACTTTTCCTTTAATTCTTGTGTTTTTAATTTGTATTGGTTTGTTTTGTTTTGTTGAATCTTACCCCTTCTATCAACAAATTCCAATTGATTTTTTTTAAGTTACAAAAGTTATAATTTTTTTTGTTTGCGTTTGTTTTATTTCTGTCGTTTGATATTTTTTTTCAGTCTTGGAAATCGGTTGATACACGAAATCCAATTGCTGAAACGATGATTGTTTTGGATTGTGTTTCATTTTTTTTATTAATTAATTTTTAACAATCTTGATGTTCACACACTCCTACTTGAATTTTTTTTTTTCATTCGGGCTTGATTTTAATTTGGTACTGATGCGCCAGAGGGAGGCCCAATTGCGAATCTGGCCCATGTGCCCATGTTCCTCTAAACCGGTGGAAAAGCTAAAAATTGTCGAAAGAAGAGCCAAATTTAAAAAGATAAAAAGTTCTAAAAAAGTTTAGGAATCAAATCATTAACACACAATATAAATGTCGTTGATAATTTAAAGTCCATCTTAGTTTATCATTTAGACACTTCGCGTGATTGCTAAACTGTAGAATAGAACACCTTAATTAAGCTAGATTTCTAACTTTCCTAGACATATAATATTGGGTAAATTACACTTTGCATCCTCAAGTATGGGTGCAATTACAATTTCATACAATATCTTTAAAACATTTCAATTTCATACATTTGCTATTATTTCATTTCAATTCAGTACAACCGTCTCAATTTCTGTTAACTTTTTTGTTATCTGCTTACGTGGATCTCATAGGCCCATTATACTTGTGCCACGTGGATTAAAAATTAGGGTAAATTAAATAAAACTACCTCAACTATTGGGTCATTAATAATTTCATACCACGTCTTTAAAAAGTTTCAATGTCATACCTTATTTTCGAATTTGTTGCAATGTCATACCTTCCGTCAATTGTCTGTCAATTCCTTAGTTAAATGTTGACATAGCTTGAGGCGGGGCACATTTTCTATTAAAAATTTAATAAAGTATTATTAAGATCTAAAAAGAAATCATTTAATATTTTAAAAATATTGAAATAATAATTAATTAAAAAAAGTAAAAAAGAAAAAAAAAGAAAAGAAAAAAAACCCAGTTCGTCTACCCTCCCCCCAACCCGAGCCCAACCTGCAACCCAGGTAAAAAAAAAAAAAAAAAAAAAAAAAACCTATCTTCATCTTCCCCGACCCCCCCATCCTGCAACCCACCCTTTTCTTCCCCCTCCCGTCTCCC